CCCGCCCCTGGCGGCCGTCCTCGGTGGAAAGGCACGAAGGCCTCGCAGGGCTGCGGGGCGTTTGGCTTTGCGTTAGCGCGCTGCGAGTGACCGCTCGGGAGCCGGGTACGCGACGGGCGGGGCTCAGCTCAGCCGCTGTGCGTGTGTGCGTGCCTGCTGTCGGGCGAGCTCTTCTCGGGTCCCTTTGGTTTAGTCCGTTTTCTGCAGCCTGTAGCAGACAATCCTGATTGTAGAGATCCGTGCGTAACCAGCTTTCACGAGAGCTGAAGTTTTGTTGTCAAAAGGGACGAATTAGGCTTGCAGTTTGTAAGCAGCTCACCGTGCCCCTAATCTGTCGCCTTTTTCTCGAAATTTACGAATTCCTCAAGAGTGCCTTGACCTGAAACACTGCTCGCAGTAGGCACGTGAATTTCTTCAAAGGAAAGATTCAGAGAGGGAAGTCATCCTTTGTATTTCTTGGAGAAGCTCCCTAAGGTTTCTTAGTTTATAATAAGTAATAATATGCATAGTTTGCTCCAGGCACTTCCTCCTAGGAGCCCAAGTGATATTGCCATATTCATATGTGAATAGCTGTTAGTGTTTATACAGCAGTATTAGGCAGTTGTTATGAAACCTGCACACATAAATACAAAACCACAGCGAGAAAACCCCATTGTCAACAACGCCTTTTCATGGGCCAAATACTCCTCCAGTTCTGTTTGTGCCTTCTCAGTAGGGAAAAAAGGTTAAATCTGGGCAACTGAATAGATGGAAGAGCTAGCTAGAAAGCTGTCACAGTTGAAGTGAAGCCATGAACATCTGTAATGGATCCTGAAATGCTATGTCTGTGTTTCTCACAGTAAATCACTGAGTGATGAAGAAAACCTGAAGCTGTTTGGGAAATGCAACAATCCAAATGGCCATGGACACAACTATAAAGGTAAGGAATTGAATTCCTTGATTAGATATGTTGTCATGGACAGAGGCTGCTCTCAGGCAGGCTGGTTTGGATGCACAATTACCCATGCAGGACCTGGGCCAGTCATGTCTCAGCAGTCTGGTATGGTTTTTAGTGGCTGGGGGGGGGGCAGCTGGGAGGATTGAACCATGGCATGGATTTGCAAGCCATTAAGTTAAATAGATAATAAATATTTGTCGCAAAATGTCACTTCATGAATCAGATCTACTTGCTTATAATCTGCAGAATCATTGTGTTTTGAATGAGGACTTTTCTAAGCGAATGACATGCAATTTAAACAGCCCATAAATTTTATTTGAATGTTGTTTTTACAAGTTCTTCTCCTACTGTCTATATCCTGTGCATGTAAAATTGGATCTTTCCATTTGTTAGGCTGGCTTCCGATTTAGCACTGTGTTTTGTAGGTACTCTGAAACCTCTACTGCAAAGATGCTAGCTTTGCCGGGGAAGACAAGTTGAGACACTGCTGGAGTGAAGATCTGTCCCTCTTTTTAAAGCTGACCTACAGGCACAACAGCTCTTGCTTTCTCATAAAAGGACATTCCCACTGTAAAACAAATTGCTGGAAAGCAAGGGAGATGTCTCTAAAACTTTTCCTTGCGGAGGGCAGAAGAGAGAGAATGAGAAAAAGAGCATGAAGGGGCTTTTTCCATTCCAGAGGAGAATCACAACCAGACCCAAATCACTGTCTTTCTATTTTTCTGAGTTCCCCAGTGAGCTGTAATTTTGTTCTCAGCTCCTGGGGTTAGTCGGAAGGAATGCTGAGCTTATAAGGATGATGTTTTCAAGTGTTTTTCTCTTTTGTTGAAAGGACTTCTGCATTGAAATGACACCTTGCAGTAATTGTAATTATTAGAGAGCTGGTGGCCCCTTCATCCCTTACTTTCCTTCTCTAGTATTCCATCATGTCTGAAGACTTACAAGCTGACCCCACATCTTATGGTCTCAGGAGCCTCAGGGTGATTGTATGGGCACCTAGGGTGTCTGCATTGTCTAGAAGACTTTGCTGATCAAGAGACTCTGAGCTTGAGTGTGCAGGGCCCAGGCTGTCATAGGGAGCAGGTACTTGAGAAGACGTCTAGTCTTATCTCTGCCTGCAAGGGGCGCTTTGGGAATAGTGGTGTGTCTCTGAGCATCAGACCTTGGAGAATGACTTCTTTAATGAGCTGGGTAACTCTGAGTCATTATTCTTTGTGAAGTGGATACCCATTTTATAAAAACAGTCCGAATTCTAAGTACTGGGAAGCCTGCACCAGTCCGTGTGGATTAGTGATGAATGGGTTGTCTGTCGCAAGGAGTAGTGTACTTTGTTATGTTCGTGGTATCATCATGACCTGGTACTTTCTTTTTTCCAGTTATAGTCACTGTGCGTGGAGAGGTAAGTGTGAACAACATTTTTTTTTTTCATTCCTTGAGGTGGCAGGATAGATGAGTCTCCATCTTCGACAGTACTGAAGTTCTAGATCAATTGCTAGATTTCCCAGGGTGTTTGTGGAAACTCTGTATGCATCACTATAGAAGGAGATTTTCCGTAATTGCTGTCCTATTCACCTTGCCTCTAACCAGGATTTGCAGGTGACCATATTTAAATCCAAGGTTTGTAGTCGTCCTCTGGGCGCATAACTTCGTCTGCCAGAGCCTCACTGCAGCATGTATAGGCTCAGGTTATATCTGTGGGGCATCGTTGGATGACTACTGAGACACAAGGAGGCTTAGCACTTCCAATAACTGATTCTGTCTGCTGTTTTATCAAGATATTTTGCTGCAAATATAAAAGGAAATTCTGCTTTTGCAGTTGTTTTTCACCCTTCATCCTGTCATTGTTCTGTGTGTTCTGCAGAGTTGTTTAGATAGCATCTTGGTTTTGATGTTTTCCAAACAACTTTTTGAGGATTTCCAGTTCATAGAAAAGGGAGTTTCTATTCAGATCTGAAATTAAAATTTTAAAACAGCTTCCTTCTACATTCCCCAAATACGCTGTGAACTACACAACCTGATTTTCTTCCTGGAGCTGTGCGTTCTCCAGATGGGAGGATGGCCTGAGCTCAGGCTGGTTGCTGTTTTGTCCCTGG